ATGTTTTTTTAATTTTTATCGCAAATGACGGATGTTATATGATGGGTTGTTTGTTAAAAAATATAATTATAATTATCTTTAAAAATCATAAATCTGCTTCCTGTACATATGATGTGTACTTGAACATTTTTATAATTTTTTTAGTTTTTAAATTAATAACAACTATACTAGGATCTCCTTAAGTATGAGAAAAAATAATCTTAATGCATTAATTAATAATAGCAATAACTTATGATGAGGTATAGGGTATGGGGGTTGTGTTTTGAAATCTCGAGGTATTATGAAGATCATTTAAAAACAGCTACGGACATGAATGTGCTAATTAATTAAAGTTTAAATAGCATATACACACGTAATCTTTAGTTAATTTTTGCATTGCAGGCGAGACAATAATATCCTTAAAGATATTCTTCTCTCACCTTATAAACATACAATATATGAGCGTTTCTATATCATTAATTATATTTACATTTGTATTTATAATTTGAAAAATAAATAAATTATTCATGCCCCCGTGTTTTTTTCACAATATATATGATGATAATGATAATCCAAAAGAATGTTGGTAGATGACTTGATAAGACTTAATACGTTAGACTAGATGATATACTAGTTAATTAGCAGATAAACGTACAGTGTACCGATACGACAAGCGTATTACACCTTACAGCGTATAGCAGCAGAGCTAACAAAGCTAGAAAAGTAATATAACAGGTAACTGGTAACAAGTTTTCCCACAGTTCCGGTGTAAACCGTGGTACTGTACGCATTTAGACAATATACATCCAGTGAAACATCCTGCCTGAGCCTTCTTCCGGTCTCTTCATCTCTACTCCCCTACTTCCCTATTCCCCGCCTTCTCCCCTTTACTCGACTTATGCCAAAAGCTACAATACCAAACACTTTGTATACTTTGAATACAATAAAATTATATAGTTATATATATATATATATATATATATATATATATATATTTAACACAGGTGCAGCTCACGAATAACATTATGTACAATGTTTACGCTTATATTAATACGTATAAGTATATAGAATATAATTTGTACGGATAAAAAAATAACAGTCCATTATGGTATATAATAAAGATGATAAAAAAAAAAAAATTAAACAAACAAAAATTTGGATTATTAAAATGATGATGGATTTAAATTACCAGCTAAGATTATAATTTTTCATTAGAGATAATATTTTTAAAAATAATGTTATAATTATTGTCCATTTATCTTCATTCTTTATAATACATAAACTATATACCTCAATGGATTCCATTGAAAATTAAAGCAGAGTATAATAATATATGTATATTAACGTTTTTATAATAAGTCAATTGCGTGCATTGGTAATTCATTGTTCCTTATTCTCATTATCATGTCTATTTATCTCTATAATCCGCAATTGAATCTCACCAGTGAAAAAATATAATGATATGTGTTATGTGCGTGGATAATATTATACGATGGGAAAATTATAACATCATAATTTACTGCACGTTTTTTTTTGCTTAATTTACCTAATTTAAATTGTTTACATATTTTGTATATACTCTAATGAAAACACCACTTCTATTGTAGACATTTTGCACTAACGATGAATTTTTCAAAATAAAAAAGAAAACTTACATGTTATTTTATGATGTACATAACAATTAATTAATTACAGCTTGAAAATGTTGTTCAATAAATTTTAATATTTAAATCTTATTATAAAAAAAGAAATTATTAATGACAATTAAATTTTATGAGCTGGCAAGTTTTTCAAATAAATGTTAACACTGTGAAACTCAAGTATTTTATCATACATAAAAAATACTTTTATAATAATAAAAGATTAAACAAAATCATATTTGAAATTTTGTCCTATAAAAATTAATAATAATTATATATTGGTGCCATTAAATTCTCTTGACAATAGTATACAATAAAATGTCGTGTTTTCGTGAACAATGATACAAAAATTACTATTTAAATTGTTTAGCATTCTACTCTGATGGTTCGTCGCATCATGAGTCGTGCAATAAAAAAAATAGAGAGGAGAGTAAAACCTGTGCATGGTTTGTACTTGAATATCAACTCGAAAGCATACAAGTGAAAAGATGAGAGGGTAATACAACCTACGCGACTCTAATCCTTAGCGGTAGACTTATGAATATATATATATATATATATATATATATATATATATATATATATATATATGAGAGACGACAATGAATCAGAACCGGAACCAACGGCATTCTCAAGAGTCCATGAGTCCCAGAGTCTGGTCCATTAGTATATAATATTATACCATATACATATACTACATCGCACGCTAAATGTTTATTCAAGTTTTTAAGACTTGGCTCATGGATCAGAAGCTGAAACTTTCGTTAAGGAAGTTCGAGCGAATCTAATGTAAAAAATAATTTCCAACTTTGAGCTTTGGAATTAAGTATACGTATAAATAAATACGTCATTTATCTAATCCCAAAATTTTAAAAAGATTCACCGTTTAGTTACTTAGATATTAAATTTTAAAAATCACGTATTTTATCTCCTTATACACGGGCTCTTATGGCGGACAAACTTTAGTCGAGACTTTAATTATTTTTTTCAATATTAACCTCCCAACTTTAACGGATATAAAAAACTATACACAAGAAACTTGGATTATTGCAAAATATAAAAACAATTTAATAATAATACATTACCGATATAATTTTCGAAATATTTAAAGTCAAATTTTATGTTTGTAACTCATTTACCGTCAGCTATTTATTCGAATAAGGATTTGACAACATCGCGTCAGCAGTTGAGAAAAAAGAAAAGGATAGAAGTATAGTTACAGAGAGAGAAATGTTTAACTCACACACTCATCCACGTCTCTGTTATTAGGTATAATCAAGCGCACTATTGCCAAATCTGTTTATTTATTACGGCAAGTAATAAATACGAAAGTCATTTTATTACTTTACTTTATTAAATTGTTTAAATTATTTTAAATTAAAATAAAGAATTTTGGTGAATATTAAAAAGACTAAAGTTAAAAAAAAATTTTAACATTATTTTGACTCATTAGTTACGCTCGAACTTCCTTATAAATATACACATATATAATACAATTATATGCTATTAGTAATGTTGATACCAAAATGAAACTAACAAATATCGGTCAAAACTGATCATATAGAGAATTTCGTGGTTTAAATTTAAGATATATTAAGAGAATAATTACATATATATATACCACCATTAAAGCCTATATAATCTCAGTCAACTAACTTTTACAAATTGTCGTAATAATCATAATTGATTTAATTCATTAGAGGTTAATTAGTAAAATATCATGAATAATATAATTGGATACATTAATCAATAAATTAATGAAATGTAGCGTGTAATATAAACGATCAGAAAATAATTTGAGTACGAATAATATACAAGAGATTGAGGCTAACGAAAGTCGTACCCGTTTTTAATGAGAACAGATGAAGCAAAGGACTCTGTGTCGAGTAGAAATATTATTATTATTATTAACAAATATGGAGTAAAATAGTTGTAAGCATAAGTTATAAGCATTATGAATTAAATGTGAGTAATATAAAAATGATGTACATAAATATAAAGATAAACACGAGCTGTTAGCGAGTTTTTACAATATATAAAAAGTAATGTAATGTTTCATATCTGACCCAGGTTAACTGAGTTGGTAAAACAAGATTCATTGACAATAGTAAGAAAAATTAAGTAAATTAAAATAAAATTGTGTTCATCATTACTTGAGAGTTATTTTTATTGTAAAGTATATATAAAATAACTAAATAGGAGATGAAAATAAGAAAATGAATTATATTTATCGTCCGATGACTAATAAATTAATTCAAATAAATATCAAACTCATCTATAATTTTAAGCGAAACACATAGAGATTCCAATCATAACGACTGCAAAAATTATTTTAGACGTGTAAATAACATATTTGAATAATATAAGATTATAAAAAAAAAAAAAAAAAAAAAAATTATATAAAAATAAATTTTTCGAGACAATAGTATGTTGGAGCCTGGGGTAAAGAATTTATACATTTCGTTTTAAAATTCCTTTGGTATTATTTACTCTTAAAATATTTTACGTTTTATACTCTTTTTTATTCTTCGGAGGTATACTTATTTACTCGTTTTTATTTATTTTTTTTTTTAACTGTAGTTTATCGGTGTACTGGCTAACCTTGAAGGTCGTCATGATTTGGCAAAATGGCTGAGAAAATTATCGACTGAGAATGAATAAGATTTGAAGAAAAAAAAATTATACAGTAAGAATAAACTGTTGTGTTTATGTGAGTGTATATGTATAAACATGTTAAGAGTTGAAACTTTTAGTCTTTTATGTATACATAGTTAGCAAACGACGAGCTATACAATAATAAACTAACTGCTTCGAAATTTATTCTCAAAATGTACGTACACGCATATAAATAAATATATATATATATATATATATATAT